GCATATAATGACAATTTTACTTCCTCCTTTCCAATTTGGATGCCTTTTATTTCACTTTCTTGTCTGATTGCTGTGGCTAGACCTTCCAAAACTATGTTGAATAGAAGTGGTGAAAGTGGGCAGCCTTGTCTTGTTCCTGATTAAGGGGAAAGCTTTTAGCATTTCCCCATTGATTATGATGTTAGCTGTGGGCTTATCATATATGGCCTTTATTATGTTGAGATATGATCCCACTATTCCCACTTTGCTAAGAGTTTTTAATCATAAATGGCTGTTGGATTTTGTCAAATGCTTTTTCTGCATCTATTGATATGATTAGATGATTTTTATTTTTCATTTTGTTAATGTGACGTATTACGTTAATTGATTTGTGGATGTTGAACCAACCTTGCATATCAGGAATGAATCCCACTGGATCGTGGTGTATGATCTTTTTAATGTGATGCTGAATTCAGTTTGCTAGTATTTTGCTGAGGATTTTTGCACCTATGTTCATTAGGGATATCGGCCTTTAGTTTTCTTGTTTTGGAATATCTTTGTCTGATTTGGAATCAGAGTAATAGTGGCCTCATAAAATGTGCTTGGGAGCCTTCCTTCCTTCTGTATTTTTAAAAATAGTGTGAGGAGAATAGGTATTAATTCTTTCTTGAATGTTTTGTAAAATTCACCTGTGAAGCCATCTGGTCCAGGACTTTTGTTTGTTGGAAGCTTGTTGATTATTGAATCAATTTCTTTGGTAGTAATCAGTGTTCAGAGTTTCTGTTTCTTCTTGGTTCAGACTTGGTAGATTGTAAGCTTTCACTTTTAATTACCCTGCTATGTCGCCTCCCCAAATCACCCCTTGTATTGGGCCCCCCACTCATCCTTGTATTGGGCCTTCCATCTCCTCCTCCCAATCTTCTTTCCTTTCCCAGGCCTTGCACCTTCATCCCCAGTTCTGCCCTTTGACCCAGAGCTCTAGAAATAATCCCAGCACCAAGGATGGGGTTCAGGGTCTCACCTGCCTTCTTGCTGCTGCTGGAGGCTCGTGCCACCAATCAGCCAGCTCATCATCCCTGGGGCCATCTGCCCCAAGGTATTCCTGCTGTCCAGGAGGCAGATGTTCTGGATTTGGCCCTCTGCATTATGCTTCATGAGGCCCTGGACAATAACTAGAAATGGACTGGGGACATTGCACAATGTCACGGAAACGGGGGGAATTTGGAGTCAGGAGACCTGGGTTGTAGGCTGGTTCATCCACTTCTTGCTGAGTGAGTGGTGCAGGTCATCCCCCTATCCTCAACACTGAGATCCATATTCTTCACCTGAAATTATGCTCCACAGGGGTGATGTGACATTCCTGCAGAGGGTCTGGCAGGCAATAGCTGCTCTAAGGAGATATTATGGTTGAAAGTTCCCCCAGTGCTGTATCTCTGAGTCTCAAGCATAGAGCCTAACATACAGGCTGTAGGTTACAATAAATGTTGGCTGAAGATTAAAATAGGTGGGAAAATAAGGAAAGAATAAATGTAAATCCTGTGACACCATGCCTGGAATAAACTGCAGGACTGAGTAAAGCTCCCAACAGAAAAGATTGAATTCCAAAAGGGAAGGGAATCTTAAAAGCTATGGACTTGCTTAATTCCTGTTTCTCTTGGCTTCAGACTCTCCTGCCCAGGATGGGGGCCCAGCTCTGGCAAACCTCAGAGCTCACCGCAGGTCACATTTATTTCACTGACTCGACCCTTCCTATGATCAAGACTCACACTGAGGACTATGGGTTACTGCATGCAGGACAGCAGAAGCTCACCTTCCTTCCTCCAGGGTCAGCTCCCAGACCCTTTTAAAGCACCCCATGTTTTAGCTGCATGCAAACAAGAAAACGTGTCTGGGGTCACAGATCTAGGTTCAAATCCTAGCTTTGTCACCTCCCTGAGTCTTGATTTGCTCATCTGTATAATAGGGGCAGTGTTACCTATCTGATGGAATTCTTGTGAGGAATATTGAGAGCACTTATCCAGAGAATATTTATTGAAGATCTCCTGGGTGTCAGGCCCTGTGCTGGGCACGAAAGACACAAACCAGTTTTCTGTCTAGTAGGAAAGACATACATTAACCAAATATTTTTAGAGAGAGTTAAACAGTAAGTATGCTTAGAACTCTTAGTAGCTCTTGGTTAATGATAATAGTAGCACTTGGGTATTTGTGAGCAGCAGACACTAGTAGTCAACAGTGCAATATCCATCCATCCTCCATCTATCTGCCTATGCCATATCCATCCATCCATCAACCCTCTTATCTATTAATTCACATATCCATCCACCTATCCATCTATCCAATATCCATTCATCCATCTATCCATCCACACTTCCATATCTATCCATCATCCATTTCACCCACTCATCCATTCATCCATTCACCCACTCACCCTTCCATCCATCCATCCTCCCATCCTTCCTCTCATTCACCCATCCTATTGTTTTCATCTGAACTCTGTTTTGATTCCAGCACACTCTCCAGTTCCACATGAAGCTGCTGATTATCTGAGCCATCATTGCATGGTGACTTTTTCAGGTTCAAAGTTGGCATGTGATTCAAGTTGGTCCTGTCAGACTAAAGAGAAGATCTTATATTTCATGTTTGAGAAGAAGATTTCTTTATTTTTCTTCTACTGGAAAGGAGAAAGACAGCTTGTAACTCAATGGCTGCTGGATACCCTTTTCCTGCCATAATGGGAACCAGGAGTCTGAGGATAAAACCATGATGATAGCAGGGCTAAAATGTAGTTCTGGATGGCAACTTTGAGCTGCTGATTGAACCGATCCTGGAGCTTGCCCTGCCTATGACTTTCAGTTATGTGAAATAGCTTGAGTTGGGTTTTCTGTTACTTGTAGCTAAGCACCCTAACTGATACATGAGAGATGGTTGTAGTGATAAACATATTCACAGTTGGAAAAAGCACTTTGTACATACTTTCCGTCATTTAAGTCTCAAAAGCAGCCCCATGAAATATCACTCTAACTGCACTCATTGTACAGATGAGGATACCTGGACCCAGAACTACACATCAATATATCTGATAAACTAAATGACAAGTTGCGATGAAGGAAAATGGGAAACATTGATTATCTAAAACCATTTGAAATAGAAACAGTAATTGAAGATTTTATTCCCCAAAAGCTTTTGATCTAGATGGTTTTATGGAAGAGTTTTACTAAACTCTTATGATGAGGTAATTGTAACAGAAAATAGAAAAATAAGATGCCAAATTCATTTTATGAGGCTAGGACAACTTGCCTGGCTTCAAGAACAGTACGAGGAGGGCCGGCCGAGTGGCGCGATGGTTAAGAACTGGCTTGGGACGCCAGAGGGCCCCAGTTCGGATCCCACATATGAGGGCCAGTGACACTGCCC